ACATTTTCTGGAAAGCCAATAAGAAAGTCCCATCATCTGTTTCCACGCTAAGCAATCATGCACACCAAAAAAAAGAAGACACAAGACCCCCTGGTCAGGAAGTACTCTGCCTCCCACTCTCTGCCATTTCCTGTGGGCTATCAGGAGGCACAGGGAGGGGACAAAAAGTCTTCCCTCTGAAAAATGGTAATTTCTGTGAGTTCCCTCGCTTTTGCACTGCATGACGCTCCTGATGCCTAGGAGCCCTTGTTTCTTCCTCTTCCCTAACCTCCCCTTTGAAAACAAAATCATTCACACAGTGATGATGAATTAATGGTGCTGCTGCAGGAAGAGCTCTCAGGCATCAAAAATTAGGAAGTGAGAGAACTAAAGCTGTTCATTCAACTTCAATTAAGTCCCAGCGTAAAATATACTACAATAGTCCTTAGTCTTCATTAACACAGCCTTGGGCTAACTCTTACACAATCTATCCAGTGCATTTTTTCCAACAATACATTTTACAGATGAAGCTGGCGTTACCACCTATTGCTAAGACTGCCCGATACTTCTCTGAGACCTTGTTTTCAGTTGGTTCTCTCTCTCTCAAATTTTAACATGTGGGATGAAATTTTCCAGTCCTGGGCCCTGACTCCAACCCAAAAGTCACAGGGAAAGTATCTACTGAAATATTTTTCCCATTTCCAAATAGCTGGCTAATAAAAAATACACTATAATAAAAAATACAGACAAAATTCTGGTCACCTTTGGTTGGGCTGAGACTTCAAAGCTTGCAGGAGACAGACTGGGTTCAGGCCACCTCTGCTACAACAACAGAAGCATCTTGAACAAAATGACCACACCTCTAACTTCTGCAAAGACTTAAATTTTTTATCCATTAAATTATCCAGAAGCACCTTCTGTGCCGAGCATGCCCTGACTCAGGGGCTGCGCGAGACTCTCCTCATCAGTCTGTGCTGTTGTGGGCTGAGACCAGGAGCAAAGGGAAGAAAGTTTGTCTCTGCCCAGTGCCGGCAGACTCTTGGAGAGGATGTGACCAGTAAAATGTTAAGAGTTCTTTGTTATTTGGGAAGAGTGATTTTTTATTATTTTTTTTTTCCCCAAAGGCATATAAACCCAGCCAAATTTGGGAAGATTTTCACCGGGATGGCAAAAAGCATATTTCTGACAAAAACCCATCTGCTAAATTTCAAAGAAAAAGTGTGAAGAAACTTTCGGTGCAAGAAAAATCATCTTTTTTTTTCTCTTCTAACCACTCAGGAGCTCCTAAGCTGTTTTGGCAGGTATTTTCTTTCAGGGTAAAACAATCAGGATAGAAAAGTTCAGCACAAGAGATGAAGTTTGTCCAATCTGCAAGATGCTGCAAAAGAGCCTTATACTAAGAAGTGCTAGGATGCCTGGGAAAACTTCAAGTATCTCCTATAATAAAGAACATGAGGTTTAAGTGTCTATCAATAAATACCAAATAAAGAGAATCCAGAAAAACTACCAAGAGAGCAAAACCAGCTCATATTACACATGACCCCTCAAATGTGGTTGTGTGTAATAATGTGCTTGCAACACGCTCAGAAACTCAATTAACATGGGCTCTACCAGACCAAGGAGAAAGAAAATTCCACCAGAAAGACACCCTACTGTGACTTTTCTTCTGTCCCTGCAAGCCTTCACAAACATCCCCAGTCTGCAGACTGAGCACCTAGGACCCTGATTCAAGCAGGGTTTCACAGGTGAAGCAGCAAGGCACCCGCCGGCAACCAGAAAGGAACCCGTGGAGAGGTGCAGTAGGAAAACCCACGGGTGTAATTTCCTCCCTGAGGAGCGCCTACACAAGTGAGCAGCTGCATCCAGCTTTACGGGACCTTCTGAACATGACCCCATGCATGAAGGTGACTGAGGAACAGATTACTGCGGCAAGGGCTGCATCAGGAAGGGATGCTCAAAATCTCTTTGCTGGCAAAAACAATAGGTGAAGGAGGGAAATGCTCTTCCCTGTGACGAGGGAACTGAGGCACAGCTAAGTATCTTGCAAAGTCCCAATGATGTAGGCCTCGTGGCTCTCATGTTGAGCTTGCTTGCCCTCACCTAAGAGCTGAGTATTGTTAGCAACATGCTGTCACAGCAATGCAAACCTGTCCATGCCGAAAAGGAGCAAGGAGGGAAAAGACCCTTGCGACTGCAGAGGGAAACTCTTAGAGAAGATGAAGAACTACCCTGAAAACCCTCTAGCATCTCCAGAAAGACAGAACCCAGCTTCTTCATGGTTGATCAAAACCCACCAAACACCTCAAATACACCAGCAAGGGATACCTTGGCATTACCCTTCCAAAAAGTGCTAAAATACTGTGGAAACAGTATCAGAAGTTTGTCTGGAGCTCACAAATATGGGGAACATGGTCTAGTGATGGAAAGACTGCATAATTAATCAGATGGCACAGGAACAAAGCGATAAGGTCCGCTGAGGGTATCTATTGTAGGGCTGGGTTTTGGTGGTACCCGAGCACCACTTGCTTCAGTCCTCCAAAAGCGTACTTCCAAACGACTACCCAGGGATTTCCATGGGCAGTGATGTGCTCCTATCTGCTTCACAGCCGCGGAAACAGGTGCCAACCTTATGGAGGCTCCCCCTAAATTTTCCAACTACTCCCTTTTGCACTCAGCAAGCCTCCTTGTCCTTCCTCTGCCACCCTAAGGGCTATTCGTGCGCCTGTTCCTCACCCCACACTGTCGCTCCCTCGCTCTCATCATCATCCCTGTCCTGCTGTCTACCAAGTTGGTCCAGCAGGCTGCAATTTCTATAGCTGTAGTACAAGAAACTCACAGACAGTGACAGTTACAGATACTCCTCTCATCCCCATCCACCCCTACAGTCCTGCCCTGTGCCACTGTGCACAGCTCGCTCAGCTGTTTCTGAGGCTGTTCTTGGAAATCTATCAGTGAACTGATCCCGTTTAGAAACCAAGCAAGCCTCCAACTCCGAAACAAGTGGTCTTTCCCCCCTCTTTAACCTCGATCAGTTCCAGGATGGGTTTGAAAGACAAGGATGTGAACAGCTGTGTGGGCATACATGAGCAAAAACAAGCATGAAAAAAAGCAGCAGCCAAGCAGGAACAGCTTCATCTGGCATCACCATACAACAAGGAAAATCAGAGTGGTGGGGCACTGACCTTTCACACACTTCATGGAGTTATACAAGAACCTCTTAGTGGCTTGCACCGTTTTCCTTATTCTGTGGATACTCACAGCCTTGCCTGAAGACAGCACCTTTGCTAACAAGCTGTTAGTCTCTCCCTAAATCCTCATCTTCCTCCACCCGGTTTCTGATGTCCTTTTCACATCTGCCCACTTGTCTTAAGAGTCCTCCCAGATATTTGCTGGATGCAGCATCCAAAATTTGTCATGTTACAACCAGTCAGACAAGCATCCAAGGAGAAAATTTCTTTCAGCCAGTAACTGCCAATATCAGTACCAATGACAGATAATTCTTGTTATCCACATCAATGAAGTAAACTTAATGGATTTACCCAGTCTAAATTAATCAACTGTACAGATAAGCTTTGTGCAATACCTGCACCAGGCCATGCAGTCTGAATTGTTATATAGGATTCTTCTTGCATGCTCTTGCTGCTTACTGTATCCCCACTCTGTTTCTCCACATATAAACAGAAACAAAAAAAGCAAGTACCTGCGTAAAATTTTCATTTACACTGAAATAAATTCCTGCAGCTACTTGATTTATATTATAAGCATTGAGAATTGGAAATGTTCCTTTTCCTGTGCAAAACTCAGTTCCAATCAAAAGAAATGGGAAGCTCCAGAACTGCACTTGAAAATTAGGATCAATCTGACTGAAAGAAAACAAGAAATAGCAAAATTCTCCCCTTTTTGTTAAACTGGACTATTCCTTTTTAAACAAAACATAGAACATTTGTTGGAAAAAAAAAAAAAGCCCTTCTCTTGACAATGTTATCACAGTGTATTTACGCTGCGAAGTAAAAGCAATAAAATGACTTATAGTTAGCACATGTTAATGACGATGCATTGGAAACTGATACTTCTATGGTAAAGAAAAGCATTAGCTTATTAGTGGCCTAAATTTCAGAAAGCTTCACTCATTTTCTTTCGAGTGAATTTCATCACAGCAAAACACGTCAGCAAGAGATGCAACTCCTTTCTATCCACAGACCAAGCGGTTTGGATTTGCAGGAGCGTAAGCTCTCCTTGCAGTGTCCCACCGACACAGGGACACACCGGGAGAGGCAACACACCTCGGGGAACGCATCTTGAGTGCTCCCAGCTTTCTGCTGAGACTGCCAAGCACAGCTGTCAGGTTTGGGTTTTCTGATGCCCCCACTAGAAGCTGACCCCAGACCCGGAAACTCACTTTTGAGTAAGCTTGAGCACCACTGAACTGACATCGGATTCATCTTTCCTACTGTCGACGGGACTTTCTGCCATGCCAAGGAATGCCCTTCGCGGGGCAAACTTAGTGAAAACCCAGACAGTCTGGGTTGCACCTGCCTCTCACCGTGCCAGTGCTGGAGGATTAGCTCATTACTCCCTTCAAGTGAGAAATTTTTAGATGATACCTCAATGAGGGCCAGAAGAGCAGTTTCAAGGTTGCGAACACAGGACCAGCACATATACTGGTTTACCTTACACCCCAGGGGATACTGTCCATCTGCTCACCCCATCACCCAGGGTGGTACCCAAGGTGGCTCCCCTCTATAGCAAGCCTGACCATCAGCCACAGCAGGCAAAGCAGGCTCTCCCACCAAGCTGCTGAACAAAGCGTCAATGAAAATTGATCCCAGGGAAGGACAAGGAGCTTTGGACATCCAAAGCGCTGCAAGCAAGGTGCCAGCTCCACGCTTGCAACCCGCTCGCTCCAGGAGCTTCCCCCTCCTTTGCTCCACTGGTCTTTCAGGATCAACCCAGGTTTGATAGCCCGGGATCTCCACCGCGCCCTCAGAAGTGAAAGGAGAAGAGGAATGTGGGACACTCACCACATCTATGTTTGTGATCTTGGCCAGGAGGTCCGTGAGCCTGTCCCCGTCATTGAGCTGAAGGCCACAGATGGCTGCTCCCACACTTCCAGTTGCTATCATTGATGGTGGGTACATGGCAAAGTTAAAATCTGCAAGAACAGATCTGGGAATTAGTCCAAGCCCAGACCAGAAAAGCTGCAAAACATCAGAGGCAAGCAACATAAAAAAACCACACCCAAGAATAAAAAACGGGGAAGTAGAAGAAAGGGAAAAGTGCCACTCTTTTTTGGTCCAGCAGAGCTCATTAGTCACACTGCTCATCACAGGCAGTCAAAGGAGGGGTAACAGATCTGCAAATTAAAATGGAAATGCGGTTCGGTCTTTTATTCTCACTGATGCATAAAGTAAACCTGGACAATTTTTAATAGTCTTTCCTTAGTTCTAAAGAAAAGGAAAGAGAAGAAGGAGGCTTTCTGTAATTTATGTCAGAAATTTGGGTCTCAGTCACATTAGAGCTCTCTGTATAACCGGAAAACTAACTGGAATAAGGTATCACAAAGGACCAAACTGAGATTTTTAGCCACGTCAATTTTTAAAGACTTAATTAACACGAGCATTTAAAGACCTGTCCGGGAGAGAGATTTTAATTAACAATTCATCTTTACCACCTTTGCAATTAGGAAGCCAGGAAGCGAGAATACTTACAGCCCATAGCTACGTAATCAAAAGAAAAACAAAGATCACATTTGTCATTACTACTATTTCTTAATAAACAAGTTGAAAATACATTTTGAAATTTCACCTCACACATCTGTGGAGATCAGGTGATAAATGAAAATAAAACTAAATGTTCTTGTGACCTTTTTAAGGCCACTTTACGCTTCATGATACTGCCATCAGCACTGGCTTATTGGTATGTCTTACTAAATATAATTTCCAGGAGATTTTCTTGGTTACTGATATCTCCCTAAAATTAAACTTGGTTTGCAAGTTGTTTGGGTCAACAATAACTCATTAACAAACCCTTCTCTACCAGTTTTCAGTTGAGGGGACCAGAAGAGCAGGAAGAGGCAACCCAAGTAATACTTAATATGAAATAAACCACTATCAATATATTCAGTCTATTTATAGAAACAGATTGTTTCAGAAAACCACCCTTCTGTTAAGGTCAAATCCCAAGCCTTCTCTCTTCAGCTAGCACAAATTCTGCAACCCTCGTGATGTCTCTGTAACCACTCAAGTTTTACACACATGAAGAGTTGTTCTCGGCCTCCCAGACTCTGAGCTGGCAGATACTGCAATAGCTGTGGAGACTGCATGTTCTTCTTGAGGCTGGAATATGCCCCTGGGACCCACAAGGAATGAAGCAGTCAGGTAAGAATGAGACTCGGGTCATAATGTTCATCTAGACGGACTGAAGGGAGGATGTTAGAAGTGGGGAGAGAAAAGGAGGAGCTGAAACCCTGACATGGATTTACCTGTCTCATGAAGCCACTGGGAGATGACCACCTGCAAGCCCACCACTGCATACTGCTGAAGCCCACTTTCCTTCCTACCAGGGGAGTTCAGCAGACATCACACGCCTGACAACCACTTCTGAAGGAGGAAATTCCCACTGACAGAAGCAATGAATATGGACTGCCATTATTATGAAAATAATAATTATGCACTATTGTAATAGTGAGAACCAAACCACTGTACACAGGAAAGCTGATGATCTTGGAAATTAAGTCATATTGCCCCCATTAATGAATGTGCCAATAGGAGGGCCTTGACTCCTCCTTACTGGAACATAGCCCTGAGGATGCTACTCTCAGCACAGGTCAAGGTAACAGGAATTGCACTGCCACTACCAAAATCACTTTCACATTTACCTCACATGGATTTATACATACATATGCAAGGGCTAGCCCCATCCAGCCTGTAAATGGATGGCCAGCGTAAATAGACAGGGCTACCTGACACGTGGCACATGCACTCCCCACAGAGCCTGCCCTATCCCCAGTGCCTCAGCCTGTGGTTGCACGTATCATTGGGTCAGACCTCGAGAGCAGGCCATAAATACAGTGGGATTTTAAGCCCTCAAAACGGCCCTCTTTTACGCCATTTTGCCTGGGGGGCCCCAGGATTCGGTTCTGGGTGACTGCTGTTCCAGCTCGTTCTTGTGGGTTGATCTGGTAGCTAATAGCTCCACAGAAGTGTGATAGATGGGCCACCAGTTTACAAAGTCCAATATAA